CAGGTAGTCAACCGCAGTTGGAATCCCGGACCCAGTTATGTCAACTCACGCTGGGCACGTGTGTGTGCGTGCCCAAGATCCCAAGAGGAGAGTGGAGGAGTAGGGATTGTGGCATGGTCAATCCCCCTGGGGGGTGATTTCTCGCTTTCTCTCTTTCTGTCTCTCTCTGTCTTTCTGGCGAGCGCACATGCCCTATAGCAAAATCCTCTCCAAAAAAAAAAAAGAATTCTGGATAAGGCTGTTTTTCATGAGCACCCTGAAGATGGGCTTCATCCTGGCCTGCCTGGCTGAAACCTCAGGAGTATTTGCATTGTCAGAAGCCGCTGTGCTCACCACGTTGGCACTTCCGTCTCGCTCCCTAGGGCTCCAGCCGTGTGTGATGTGGGCTTTCACACCAGGGTGGTTCTGACCGTACTGCCTCCACGTGACAGCTCTGTGTCTCTTTACTTCTCAGTCATTCTTGTGCTTACTCTTGCACTTGACATATTAATGCCTGTATTCACTACCTTGCAATCTGCTTGCCTTTTTTAATTTGCTACAGAGTTCTAGCACTCTCCAGAGAGATAAAGTGAGAGGGCACCCCCTGGGAACGGCACACCACAATCCCTTCTTCTCCATTTTCCTTTTGAGATTTTGGCCATGCATGCACACACACGATCATCATGTTTTTCAAGCTGCTGGGTCTGGGCTTCCAGCCATGCTCTTATCCATGTAGGATCTGGCATCCTTAACCACCATCTCACTGGCTGGCCCTGAAATCTGCTCTCTTCATCGCTCTGTGATGTTCTTCTATCTCGTGGATATTTCTGTGTTATACTGGAGTCTTCCCCTCTAGTTAGTAGCAGCCAATCTCCTCTTCATTTCCATCATCTGAATCGTGCTTCTTCTGGTCTGCACTCTCTGTCCCTGGTCAGAACGTGCCCGTCCCTTTCCGTGAATAGGGCAGACCACATTCCATCTCTGACTGTGCATGCCTTCTCAGGGTCCCCGCCTCTGGTTCTGCTCCTGTGCCCCTCTCTTCTGCCCTTTCCAAGTAACTACACCTTCTCAGGTAGGAGAGGCTGCTTTTCTGGAGAAAGAGAACCAGTGTCGGTTTCCAGGGTGGACTGGTGACCCGAGGTGCTGAGTTGTTGGGGACGGGAGCTACACTCACTCTTCCCCAGGGAATTCAGGGTTGCTCTTTAAGTGTAGACAGGGGCATCTTTCTCAGCTAGTCTGTTATGTGACTGAACGAACTTCTCTATGGTACCAGCTTTGCGTCTTCCTGAGAACTGGGAAAGCAGTCACTCAGAGCATTTTCTTGGTTTTGTGGTATGATGAGGGATACTGGCTGAGAAGCACCGCACTTATCACCATGCTTCAAGATGCCAGCTCAAGACGTGTGCATGCCGAAACATGGACATATGTGATAGGTCACAAGTGCACGTGGCGTAAAATTCACAGTGTGCCAAAGGGTATCCAACAAAAAAAAGTCTCCTTTGACTCCCAGCCACCCAGTTCTTCTGTCCAGTTAGGTTTCTTAGCCTCCCCTCGAGAGATGCTGTACACACATGAACTTCTGCTGAGCGAGGAGTTAGGCACACACATGTGTGCACTTCGAATACAGGGCAGTATCTGGCTCAGACTCTGAGGCACCTTGCCTTTGTGACCGATGAGCACATCTGGTGATGGTTTCACATTAGTTCCGACGGTCCTCGTCACGTGTCCTCGTGCTGTCTGCGATCCTGGGACTCCACCCGAGCTCTCTGCCCATGGGCATTTCGTGTCGCACCTCTGCTACCCCAAGTGCGTTTTCTTGCAAGTGGGCTTTGTTGTGCACAAATCCTGCACATTTCCCCTTCCATTAGCATGAATAATTTAGAGCTGACTGGCGAATGATTAGGAACTTAACCTAGAGGCCAGCAGATGGTGTAATGGTTACATCACTGGACTCCCAGGTAGTCGGCCACAGTTCAAGTCCTGGACCCAGCAGCTTAAAACTCTCTGGGCACATGTACATGTGTGTCCAAAATCCTGAGAGGAGACTAGAGAAGGGATTGCATTACAGCTATCCCCTGGGGGGTGATTTCTCTCTCTCTAGCCAACGCATGTGCCCTATAGCAAAAAATGTCTCTCTCTTTAAAAAAAGAATATTGACTAAGGAACCAAATAACTGAACTTCAGCTGATGGTTGATCGCAACCCTTTTTTATATTTTGAGGAACTACTGAAGGGAGTTTGTAAATATCAACAGAGTTGCTACCTTGTCTACTAAAGAGTGGACATCTGCGTTGTCACCCTGCCTCTGTATACGGTCTGCAGGTCCTCTCTGAGGGGCGTTTACACAGGAGCTGGTTAAAGAGAGTGTTATTTTAAGAGCAAGTGATGCAAAGCCTTAGTTGGTCCCTGGCTTAATCTAAGGAGTCCTTAGGCATTTACTACCAGATGCCAACCCAACAACTTAAGTGAGCGGAGCAGAAGGAGCCCACCTGCCGGGGCAGGCCTGCACAGGCCCAGCCCTACTCAGCTGTGGGCTCAGTTTGGAAGGTGGAGAAGGCCTTGGGCATTGGCCTTTCCAGGAGGAGCTGTGGTTTGTCCCATGTGAAGGAGAAGCACAGGATGTGGCCGGTCGCTCGACCTCCTGGTCCTGAGCCTCACAGCACCACGCACGAGTCGACCACAGACTTATGCAGAACCCAGCTGCTCACCGTCCTGTCTGCCGTGAGTTGTGTATGTGTGATGCAGGCCTCGTGGCAGTGTGTGTGGTGGACATCTGCATTGCCTGAGTCCTACGGAAAGTCAGGACCCAGCAGGGTCTGGGAAATGGGAACAGCTCCCTGGTGTTGGGAGCCCAGCCACACCCCTCCTGCCCTGCTCGGCCTCCCAGGTCAGGAGTTGGACCACGGTCTCCTAAAGTCCTTTTCAGCTGACCCACCCTGAGTCAGTGACTGCTGCATCAGAATTTTCTCTGTAGCCTGATAGCCCGAGTCCGATAAAAAGTCTTAGGATTTGGTTTCACACTTTGACCCAGATGCCTAAACTGGGTTATGAAATCAGTGCTCTCCTGAATTCTGTTTCTCAGTTGTTTCAGGAAGTTCGTGAGTTCTAAAATTTAGAATAGTTAGCAAGAATATTAAGCTGTTCTCCCATGCCTTTTTAGTACATCACGGTTGGACCTCAGCCTGGCCCTGGCAGGGGTGGGGGGTGTCCCTGTATAGAGGAGTACAGCCTCTCTGCGTCTTGTAAGTAAGCACCTACAGTGACTGTCACTTGCACCATCTCTTCGGGAGAGCAAGGATGGTGACAGCTAATGGCAATGCAAGGGAGAGGCTTCGGGAGGAGGCTGTGCTCTCACTTCCCCAGAGACCTCCCTCAGGTGGCCTCCCTAGCCCCTTTGATGTGAATTAGCCCCAAGGCATGTTCTTAGACCTTCCTCTGGCCAGGATTCCAGCCCTGAGCCCTTGCATAGAGCGGTAAAAAAAAGAGCGGTTCTGGAACTATGGCAGGCCTGGCAGCGGTTGGGGCTTCTGCTTGTATGTAACCGTGTCTCCAGTCACTTCTTTTTCTTTTTACTCTTTATTTTTTTTTATTTTTTTTATTTTTCAATTTGCCATAGGGTACATACAATTGCTGGGAAGAGTCAGAGAAAGAGAGTGAGAGAAAAAGAACGTACCCGTGGGGCACAGTCATGCCTCGGTCCCTCCTCCATCCTTCCCTTCTTTCCAGTTGTGGGCATGAGCACACATGTGTCAGCCATGTGGGATCCAGCTGTATTAACCGCCAGGCCTCAGTGTGGTCCAGTTCACTCTTTATCATGCACTCCAAAAGCCATCTTGGCCACCAGTGACCCCGGGGCTAGTAGCAAACTGTAGCTGGCGTGAGAGACTTAGGGAGTGTGGAATCAGTGATCTTCAAAAGGAACTTGGCACTTCAGTGGTTGCTTGGGGCATTTTAATCTTTTTCTCCATTCCTTACTTCATATTCATGTATTTCATTGAACTCAAGAAATCATTAGTTGTAAGATATCTTGATTTCAGAAATTAAAAAAAAAAGTATGAAATCATCTGTTTAAAACAGCAAAATTGGGGACCAGCAGATGGCATAGCAGTTATGTCACTGGACTCCCACATGGCTGACTGTGGTTCAAGTCCCGGACCCAGAGACTCGAAACTCATACCAGACATGTGAGAGGAGAAAGGAGGAGAAGGGATTGTGGTGTTGCCACCCTCCCTGGGGGTTGATTTCTCGCTCTCTGTCTGTCTGTCTGGCAAGTACACACGCCCTATTTTTTTAGAGAGATTTTCGCTATAGGGCATGTGCGCTTGCCAGACAGACAGAGAGAGACATAGAGACAGAAAGCGAGAAATCACCCCCCAGGGGGGATGGTCATGCTGCAATCCCTTCTCCTCCATTCTCCTCTCGGGATCTTCGGCACGTACGCACACATGCCCGGCGTGAGTTTTAAGCCACCGGGTCCGGGACGCAAACTGCGGTCGACTACGTGGGAGTCCAGCGACGTAGCCATTACGCCTGGTTCCCTAAAAAAAAATTTTTTAAAGAAAAATCAATTATTTCTTCTGAGGAGACTACACTTTGGAGGTAAGGGCAAGAGTGACCATCCCCACAGAGGTCTGAGCCTGAAGGCGATGCAGAGTTGCTGGTAGCACCTGAGAATTCCCCCTCCTGGGCAACCTCTGACAAGAATCCCCTTCTCACAGGGTTAGGCTCTTGAACTTAGAGACCTACTCCTACTTTAGCAGATTCTCCATCTGACTATCAGCATCATCATCCCAGCCTCTTTGACCTCTAGGAGATGTAGTGTACTTAGCAACCCTGATACGGCACAGGGCTCCAGTGCCCTAACACTGGAGCTAATGGGGAAGCCTTAAGTACACACAGGTGTAGAAAGACAGGAGGCAAACTCTGCCCATGTCTCCCCCAAAAATGTCAGCTCCACAATAGAAAACTGGGACCTGTTGATTCTTGACAGCAGGTGTGACATTTTTCTTAACCTCTTCTTAGGTTCAGGGAGCAAGCTTCCGAGGTTGGAAAGAAGTGACTTCTCTGTTCAACAAGGACGATGAACAACAACTACTGGAAAGATGTAAATCCCCCAAGTCCAAAGGGTAAGTCACAAAACAAGTGTATAGGAAATACTCCTCTCAAGAGCAGTAGGAAGGCTCTTGAGGAAGGTAGAAATGACCATGTTAATTGTGTAAACGAACTTGAACTAACTGCTGTGGTATTTGGTAAATCCTCTGGGTCTCCCTCTAGCCCTCCCTGTGGAGTGGCCAACAGTAGCCAGAATAGGTGCTATGACCATTACAGTTTGCTTAAGAAAACAAATATACTTTTGATAAAAGGCCATGAGGGTGGGTGACTATGTGAGCATTTTTAAAGGTCATGGGAAAGTGAAGAAAACCTGGAATTATAAATTGAACGTGGCCTAACACAGCTGGTGGCCAAGCTTAAGATTTTAGTTATCCCAGAAAATAAAACTGTTAAAAATGCAAAGGATTGATAGGCAATTCATAAAAGATGCTGGAAAATTAAACAGATTTAGATTGTTATATTGCTGCTACTGGATTGGCAATATTTCACAATTGTGCAACACTTATTTAAAGGGGAACATGTAAATCCAGGGATACCTAATGGTGTCACCAGGGGCATATGTTCTTAGCAATCAGTGGAGAAGCTGTTTACAGAAGGTGGATCTCTGTGAGCCCCTAAGCAAAGCTGGGGCTTTCGTCTGAGGACCGCAGGTCTCTGGGCTGCTTTTCTGCACCCTGGGCAGACAGATGGCCCTTCCCCCTCTGGCCACACTGTGACTCACCACCCCACGCTCTTAGCCTGTGAAGACGGTGGGAACTGGCCCTCCTGCCGCCAGGTGACATGCCCATAGGTCAGCATAGCTGGGGGCGAGGCCTGGTGCTGTCCAGGAGCCTTGTTGTTGGGGCTCACCAGACACCAGAGTCTGTCCTCGACAGACGTCAGCCTGCTTTTTTTTTTTTTTTGGTAGATGCTGCTCTGATCTCTTCTTCCAGAGTAAAAAATAAGGGGAACGACTCCATTTATCAACTACGTTTTTAGTAGGGCTATTCAGAGAGCCTGTTAGTCTCAAGCATTGAGTAGGTAATTTGCTCAACAAAAATAAGAATTTAGGACAGCATCTTCAAAAACGGAAGGATGGAAGGAAGAAAGGAAAGAAGGAAGGAAGGAAGGGAAAAAAGGGAAATGCAGGCCAGTGCCTGCTGAGATGCTTCCTCTCAGGGTGATTCCACTTTTGTGGCTCTTCCTGAAAACTGGTTCTTTTCCCATGAATTGCCAGCTGCCATTGTGGCGCTTTTACAAGTTCCACTAAGAGCATGCAGTGACTACTTTTCCTTATTAATGTTAATACTTAAAACGTTATGTGTAGATTTGTGTTGGTTTTCTACACAGTTAGAAACATCTTACAAGAAACTTTATAAAATTGGCATGACTTTTGAGGCTCTAAGATCAATAGCTCACTAGCACTTAACTCTTTCATCTCCTCCAGAACTAACATACGATTAAAAGAAGAGTCGAAGACAGAGAAGAAAGCTGGATTTTGGGACAATTTGGTTTTAAAACAGAATACACAGTCTAAAAAACCAGATGAGATCGAAGGTTGGGAGCCTCCGAAACTCGTTCTCGAAGACGTGTCGGCTGATTCAGGGGACGCCTCGAGTGGCCACCTGTCCTGGCCAGGCTGGGAGGATGACACCAAGGGCTCGACCAAGTACACCAGCCTGGCCAGCTCGGCCAACAGCTCCAGGTGGAGCCTCAGGTCGGCAGGGAAGCTGGTCAGTATCCGACGGCAAAGCAAAGGCCACCTGACGGACAGCCGGGAGGAGGTGGAGTGACGAGGAGCCACATCGCCACGCGTGTTCAGACCACGCTGCCGTTTCATCGAGCTTCTTAGAGTTTGCAAAGTCATGGTGATTTTTAATTAGTATACCATGAAGTTGTTTTGTCTTTCCATATTAAAAGAGTAGACAGTCTACTTTGTGCCTCTATTTCCTGTTGGGACTTGTTTTCACGGTCGAATGATGAACTCCCACATACTGTGATTCCTTGGTGAACACATGCAGGGACTTACATTTGGTTGCCTTATTCAGAAACGTCCACCCACTGTCATCTGTGTGTTGCTGAAACCGAAGATGTGAATTTTCAATGCACTCTTATAGATGCCAGTAATGATTTGCAGTTTGGCACAAAACCACTTTCATGCCACCACCCTCGGTTGTAGTTGTTTCCAAACGTCCATTCCTTTTTCTTGCATGAAACATACACATACACGTTCACACACGTGACACACGAGAATGTAGCGGTCACAAAAAGTCCAGGCAGTAAGATGAGCCTTCCAAAGGTTATGTTAAATTTAACTTAACTGGGCAACTCAGACTTTTTCTCATTAAATTGAAACAGATTAAGCACTGGAAAAGCAAAGGTTACATCTGAACATAAAATGTCAGTATCTCGAAGTGCGAGTGTGTCCGTGGCTGAGGGAGGAGCAGCCTCTGGTGTGTGCACTGGATAGCAACCGCGGTTCTTCTTTGGGGTTTTATCTTTACTTCTCCCTTTTAAACTTTTAAATACTGATCTTTATTTTCTTCGAGAAATTTCCTTTGTTTACAGATTAAAGAATCGCTATCAAGTGTAGATTATTTTTAGTAGCTTGATCATTGTAATTTTGTTTGGAAAACAGTGATTGCTCATTACAGAGTTAAAACTGTACATACATTACTGAAGTGCCTCTTTTCTATTGTTCCAAGTGTTTGGTGTTTCAGAATGAGATACTGTGATTGCTGTCAGATCTGTAAGAAGTCGTGTTTCCCTCCTAGAATAACAGGACTAACGTGAGAGCGTCCCTCACTCTTCACCCCCCCACCCCCCCCGTGTCTCTGGACCAAGCGTCGTCCCCAGCGGTGTGGTCCTCTGTGTCAGGCACACCAGTCGTGTGATCATGTGTGTCTCTGCAGGAGGGCTGCTACCAGCAGGTGGTCCAAATATCTATCCTAGGCCAAAGCAGCATGAAAGAAAAGGTAGATATGTTTCTTGTTTTGATTAAAAGAATAAAAACCTCCAGTTATACTGTGTTTTCCCCTCAAGGAGGGGGAAAAAAAAAGACCCATCCTCGGTCATTCAGTGTGCACTTTGGTGCCATTTCATGTTCGTGGACATCCATTTAACGGTCCCCTGGAGTAACCGAGCACGCCTGAGGGCAGATCACGCATGTGCCAGTGAACCAGGGTGTCAGTCAAGACTTTTAATAGAACAAGTTTACTTGATCTGTCACTTTTCTCCATCCATCCATCTAGGAGTTTATTTATCTAGCCTAGCTTTAAAGGGTTTTCAAATGAAAACTTCAGTTTGTTCTAGAACCTTGAAATTCTGAAATTAACAGAGGCTTGGTTTCATAATGCAGAAGAAAGTTGATCATTTTTAGTAGAATAGCAAAGTTGAACAATCGCTTTACTCAGGTAAATAGCCGGAAGTGTAGACAGGACCCCTGTCTCCCTATGGAAGTGCTCGCCAGGACGGTGCAGATGTGCACCGCGAGGGGTTTATGCACACGTTTCCCTGCAGGAGCTAGTCAGGCTCAGCTTCGCCTGTGGAATGTAAACCTCGCATTTGAGACTCTGGAAATGATATTTCTGTATGGGAGAAGTAGGGAACACCCCCTCACACATTGGGGGCTACAGGAGTCTGGGACCAGCTGCGTCTGCTATGCCTTTGTGTTGGAATTGCCAAGTGCCTGCAGCCCACCCACTCACGGAATCGCAATGGCAGCACAGTCCTGTACACTGCTCCCCCAAATTGGGTGACAAAGGCAGATTGGAGTTAGAATATGCACTGTAAGTTGCCTTTTTTTTTTTAACCTATAAAGATTAATGTAAAAACGAATTTTTCTTCTGTTGTATCTGACTAAATTAAAATGACTGTGGTTTTTAGTATAAGTATTTATTGGCGTGCCGAGAGAGAGTAATATCTTTTCTTGAAGGAATTTACCGAAGTGAATTTGTTGTGTTCACAGGTTTATGGGAGCGTGTGGTTTTGATTAAGGGTGTTTGAATTGTGCACACAACGTCACTGTGTGAAGAGGGTTGTCTGCTCCTTCTACTGTATTTTTACATTTTTTTAATAGGAAAGAGATTGGCTTCGGCCTCAGAAGGTAGGGTTCCTGCTTAATGCTGAGATTTCTGAAAAATAAATCTATTATTTCTGTCTTCCCTCATTATTGGTTTGCATGATTTCTGGCATCTGTTTACAATGACTTTAATCACTTAGAGCTAATGGCACTTTTCCTGAACTTTTAAATCATTTTAAAATGCAAACAAGACATGTAGACTTTTTCATAAATAAATGAACAGTTTCAACTTCTGTTTTCAAGATGTGTCCTTTCCGTGTTTGAACCACCCTCCTGCGCTGTCTGTCCCGCGTGCACCCGGGAGTCTGCCCTCCCCCGGTAGCTTAGTGCACAGCATGCATTCCGGCTCCAGTTTGCTCTTGGTAATGAAAGTTATGTCCTTAGCAGGCTCCCCCCTCGGTATCCCACTGAGAAGCGTGAACAGACCAGCCATCGTACGTTCTCACCGAGTTTTTACTTACCTTCTTAAAAGATGTCCTGTAAGCGAGTCATCGTCTTTTTATTTATTTACTTTTAAGGGTTTTGCCACAGAGAAAACTGGGGGACTGTTCCAGAGAGGGACATCAATGTCTCTTTGGTTCTTTTTATTTTTTATTTATTTACGTGCACTTGCCGGTGAGAGAGACAGAAAGCAGGAAATCACCCCCCAGGGGGATGCCGCACTGCAATCCCTTCTCCTCCATTATCCCAGAATCTTGGGCATGCATGCACATGCACCTGGTATGATTTTGAAGCCACTGGGCCTGAGATGCGCACCACAGCTGGCCATGTGGGAGTCCAGCAACATGACCTCTCCCCTCTGCTGGTCCCAATGTCCTTTTGGAACTGGACATGTAGGCCATGGGGCTGCGGCCTGTTTCCAAGGCCTGGCTACTTGGGGAGGAGGCGTGGAGCTGTGTGAGAGACAAATCAACGTGGGGTTCCTCTGTGTGTCTGAAGCCTGGGGTTTGAGGCCCTGCCTCTTCTTCCTGGGCTTTGCTGACAGGTGTAGACGCTCCCTTGCCTCATGCCCTGGCCCTGTACCCTCCTCCCTCCACACACCCAGTTCCTCCTCTCTCCCCCTCTCCTGTGGCAGATGCTGAGGAGCCCAGGACTGCGCTTGAGGGGTGACCCTGTGTCTTAGTGTCTCCCTCGTGGACCCGCCACACTGATTGCGAGTTATCTTATGGCTGTCACAGGTAAGGGAACTGTCTCTCCTTTCTCCCTTCACTCTAATTTAGTCATTCCCTCTCTGGCTTTAATGATCAGCCCTGGATTGATACATAATTGAACAACCAAAAGGCCAGCTCACAGGGCACTATTTAGTAATCTTTGAAAAGGTAAATTTACTAAGATGAATTTTCCAACTCTGGGGTAGCTTTTGTAAATGTTTTAAAGTTTTTTAATTCCACAAGAGGGAGAGCAAGTCCGGCACCTCCTACAAGATCCTCACGCCATGACCCACCGCGACCTGAGCCAGCCTGGATGTGGCTGTGGAGGGAGGCCCAGGTGCGGGGTGCAGGCCCTTCCCGCCGGGCGGGCGTGTTACTGCTGTGCCACGGTCTGGCCCCGACAGCTTTTGCAGTGCACTCGGAACGGTCCAGGCCTGTAAGAGCTAAGACTGATCACCGAGCGCTCTGATTTATCACTTGGGGGAGGGAAATGGATTCAGTGTGACGGGTGTGAGGCCTCGTCCACACTGAACGCCCGCACCATCTAAACCATGTGCCGCTGAGGAACCAGAACCACCCCCCCTTAGGCAATCCACACCTTCACGTGCAAGCGTTTTTCCAGGGCCGTGGTTTGCAGTGTCAGCTCGTGGACCCAGCATCAGCACTTGGGCAGGAGGAAGCCGCAGTGGTGAGTCCCCCATGGCCCCTGTTCTGTGATTCCAAAATTGCCATTTATAATCGCAGACGTGAGCCATCGTAGCGGGCACTGCATCAGACCCAATTATGCTCAACCGAGCTTCAGGATGAAAGTGAGTGCTGTACTCCAGAGTCCTGCACCCCCTCCCCCCGCCCTCGCTGTCTGGATGCTGCTTCTCAGCACTTGGGTGTCGCTCATGGCCCCAGTGGGAAAGGTTGGGGGCCCCGTTCTCTCCACCGCCCTGGACGCAGGACTGACTGGCAGGAGGCTGTGGTTCCACCCAGCCATGTGCACCTGCTTGAACAAGCACCTGAATGCCCAGAGAGGTGTACACCAGAAAGGAAGACTCATGTTAAAGTGAAAATTGGTCATTTTAGGCAGCCAGCAGGTGGCATGGTGGTCGAGGCACTAGACTCCCATGTGAATGACGGCATTTCAAGCCCTGATCTGGCGGCTTGCTTTCTCACTGTCCCTCTTTCTCTTCCTGCCACTCTCTGGTGAGCACACATATATCCTGTAGCAAATTAAATAATGATAATTATGATAAATTCTAAAAAAAAAAAACAAAAACAAACAAACAAAAAAAACTAGTAATTTTAGCTAATGGCAGACCAGTGATGAACTAGCTTTTGCCAGTTACAGAAACACGTATGGGAAGGGGACTTCTCGGTGTCACGCGTGCTGGCGCTGTGTCATATAGTGGTGCTCAGGAGACCTTTTAGTGAAATGAGAGGACACTGGCTAGTGAGGTGCCCCAGCGTGGGGCCCTGGCATTGCGACCTCCGAGCTTCAGCTTTCATTTAAGAAGGACATTCTCGGAGGGCTCTGAGGAGGAAGTCCACTTGGTGGTTGGTGAAGCTTAAAGTACTGACTGTGCCCTGCTCCTCCTCACAAGTTGGTCTCGACTCTCTAACCAGAGCTCTTGTCTGTTGAGACACTGACTACGAGGAGCCAGAGGCAGGAGCTGCTGGTTCCAGAGGCCCAAGGGGCTGCTTCGAACTGTTCGGTTTTGTTTGCATGATGTAAGTCACTATCAGGTGGCCAGGCTGCCGGTTTCCAAGTGACATTTCTAGTGAGTTCAGGCAGGAAACTCGAGGTCTGCAGGGTGGACGGATGACTGTGGAGGCTGACTACCGTCAGGGCTGCATGCAGGTCTCCCTCCTCCTCCCAGGCCGTTGTCCTGAAGCTCGCGGGGAGTCCAGGCTGAGTGGCATGGCCTGGGCAGGCTCACGGGGCATTGGATAACAAAAACAAACAAACAAAAAAAACTAGTAATTTTAGCTAATGGCAGACCAGTGATGAACTAGCTTTTGCCAGTTACAGAAACACGTATGGGAAGGGGACTTCTCGGTGTCACGCGTGCTGGCGCTGTGTCATATAGTGGTGCTCAGGAGACCTTTTAGTGAAATGAGAGGACACTGGCTAGTGAGGTGCCCCAGCGTGGGGCCCTGGCATTGCGACCTCCGAGCTTCAGCTTTCATTTAAGAAGGACATTCTCGGAGGGCTCTGAGGAGGAAGTCCACTTGGTGGTTGGTGAAGCTTAAAGTACTGACTGTGCCCTGCTCCTCCTCACAAGTTGGTCTCGACTCTCTAACCAGAGCTCTTGTCTGTTGAGACACTGACTACGAGGAGCCAGAGGCAGGAGCTGCTGGTTCCAGAGGCCCAAGGGGCTGCTTCGAACTGTTCGGTTTTGTTTGCATGATGTAAGTCACTATCAGGTGGCCAGGCTGCCGGTTTCCAAGTGACATTTCTAGTGAGTTCAGGCAGGAAACTCGAGGTCTGCAGGGTGGACGGATGACTGTGGAGGCTGACTACCGTCAGGGCTGCATGCAGGTCTCCCTCCTCCTCCCAGGCCGTTGTCCTGAAGCTCGCGGGGAGTCCAGGCTGAGTGGCATGGCCTGGGCAGGCTCACGGGGCATTGGATTCTTTTTTTTAAGACAGCGGCTCACTATGTCATGACCTTTCTGCCTCGGCCTCCCTGGTCGTTGGAACTACAGGCGTGAGCCACTGCACCCTGCTTGAGAGGAGCTGGGAGTGGAATCCAGGCTTACGTGTGGCCTCGGCCTACTCAGCTGGGCTGAGTGTCAGATCTTTCCTGGGGACCGAGCATCACGACAGCCTTCTGGGCTTAGGGAGTTTCTGTGTGAGGTGGTCGGTCTTGATCACCCACCTCCTTTTTTCTCCTGTTGTAGGAGTCAATTTAACATCCCTTCCGGAGAGCCCGCCTCCCCCATAACTGGAGCTCCCACAGTCTGCTCTCCTCGCCATCCATCTTCCTTCGTGATGCCCATGTATCTTCCACGTAGGCTTCTTGGCGTCCGCCCTGTGCTAGAGCAGCAGCTCCCAGCAGGCAGGAATGTAGCCCAGCACGTGCCTCCC